AAAAAGGGCACCTTGGTATGTAAATAAGACGAAGGCAAACCCTGCTAGAAGGGCACGGGGGCATGCTCGCCCGGAAAAGTTTTGCATATAAGCAGCCACTTTGGCTCCCATAGCCTCTTTCGCACTAAAGCTCAAAGAAAAGTCTAAAACAATGAAAAGAGGCACTTCTCAGATATAAAATAGGGCACTGCCAAGAACTTAACAGGAAAAAAGTTTGCAAAGTGTGATGGATAATTTTTTTCGTTTTAGCACTTCAAGGAGATTCGAGAGGACCGCAACTTACACTATCCGTCGCTGGCCCCAAGGACATATCCTCAACCAAAGACGGCGGACCTGTGCAGCCTCGTAATATTTCCTTCCCTACACATTTGATTGGCAATCAGCATCGCGCATTCACACCTTTGCTGTATGAAAAGTATCCCTGGATTGAGTATTCGCAAATGGAGGATGCCATCTTCTGTTTCCACTGTCGTAATTTTTCAGAGAATCGGAAGGATCCAGCGTTTGTTAGTCAAGGCTTGCGCAATTGGAAAAGATGCTATGGCACCAAAGTGAATGATAACAAACTCTTGCAACATCAAACCAGCCATCTTCATGCCCAAAGTGTAGCTGCTAAAGCGCACTATGAAAACGTTAAGTCTGGAAATTTTCAGACCATTGCCACACTTCATGATGCCGCTTATTCGAAACTGGTTAAAGACAACAGGCATTACATGCGAGTGATTTGCGAAGTCCTGCTTCTCACTGCTCAGCGGAAGATTGCCCAACGTGAGACTGGAGGTTCATTTCGTGTTGCCGATATAAATAAAGAAGCTCTAGACTATGGACCTTCTTGTGGTAATTTTCTTGCGATACTTGGTCTTCTTGCAAGGCATGACCCAGTTGTTGCTGACAAAATCCGCACTGGCCCGAAAAATGCAAAGTATACTCACCACAGCGTACAGAATGCCATCTTAGACATTATGAAAGACATGGTTCTTGAGCAAATAAAAAGTGAGCTCAATAAGGCTCAGTATTTTACCGTCCTTTCAGATGAGTCTAAAGATAGAAGCAAAAAAGAGCAGCTTGTTGTTGCAGTCCGTTACTGCTACGAGAATGCCATACATGAGGAATTTATTGGCATTGCTGAGGCGCAAAGTTTAGATGCAGATGGTCTTTCAGACACAATAATTGAACGATTGCAACGCATCGAAGCCAACATGAAAGCATGCGTGGGGCAAGGCTACGATGGAGCTTCTGTTGTTTCTGGTCACCTGAATGGCGTTCAAAGGAAACTTCCTCTGAAAACCGGTGCTGAAATGGCTTACTACGTCCATTGCTTTTGTCATCGATTGAACCTTGTGATCGTCGATGTTGTGAAATCAATCAGTTGTGTGGCAGACATGATATCGCTATTCAGAAGCCTGCATTCTTTTCTGAGCAGCAGCACCGTTCATGTACGATGGGTAAAGGTCCAAGAGGATCACAAGGTTCATGTGATGGAAATTGGAAAAGTTTCTGACACGAGATGGTCTTGCCAGGCGAAGCAATTCAATGTTTTCTGGGAGCGGTTGGATATCTTGGTGGAAGTCCTGCAGGATGTGATTGACACAGATACGAACCCCGGTCGCAGAACAGAAGCTACTGGTTATCTTCTGCAGATTGACAGGAAATTTGTGAGATACCTGTTTGCCATCCGACACGTCTTGAACAAAGCCAAATTTGCGTCTGACATGTTGCAGAAACCCTCCAATGATTTGAGTCAAGCCATTGATCTCATTGCAACATTGAAAGATGAACTGGATGACTGTCAAAGCAGGGATAAGATTCAAGAGTTCTGGGATACTGCCGAAGAAGCAGCGGATCGCTTGGAATTGCCGGAAGAAAAAAGACCACCAAGAAAGAGGGCAACGCCTGCTTCTCTTCGAGAGTTTGTTGTGGAAGCATCTTCAGAGCCTCAAGTAGCAAGCGGGTTTGATGGCTACGTACAAAATGTCAAAGAAATACTAAACAGAACAACTGCAGAACTTTGCAAGCGGTTTGACGAAAAAAACATAAAGATCATGAAAGGCATAACTGCATTGGCCCCCAAGTCGAAAAGCTACTTGGACCCAACAACTCTTGTCAATTTTGCTGAGCTTTTTCAGTCTGAAATTGGTGCACTACGCAGTGAAATTGCCACATTTAAATATATGCTCTCAAGAAAAGAAGAAAAACACCGCCCAAGCACACTTCTGCAACTAGAGGCACACTTGGAAAAGCTAAATGAAGCTTTCTTTGAGCTGCACCGGCTTGTATCCATCGCATGCACTTTGCCAGTCTCTTCAGCCGAATGTGAACGCAGCTTCAGCTCTATGCGCCTCATCAAGAGTGATCTGCGCTCACTTATGAAGGACGAGCGTCTAGACAGTCTGATGATGCTAGGTATTCATCGTGCCCGTGGAAGTGCTCTTGACTTGGACTCAGTAGTAGACAGATTTAAGGCTAAGTTCCCGAAGAGTAGAATTGCTCTGTGAAACAATTTTGATTCTTGGACTTGAATTTTCGATATGTAGAAGTGCGTATTCCACCGCTTAGGTCTGTTCCTATAAAGTTACGTTGTGTTCCAGTTTTCCTTAAGTTCAGTTGGTTGCTTTTTATTTAAATTCATACTTTCCAAAGATAGGCCCTACTTGAATTGGCAACGTTTGATGAGTTGTAAAGATTTAGAGTAGTTTTAAGCTTATCTAGAGGCAGCTTTCAAAAAAAATTTCCAGGGACGCCGGAGAAGGGGGGCGCGGGGGGGCAAGCGCCCCTCCTGCCCTTTGCTAGGAGGGGCAAGGGAGGGGGCAAACGTGCCCTTAGTAATATGTCAAAAAACGTAGTAAAAAACACGATTACACCATTTTGATAGCATTTTTAGCCAATCTAATGGGTGTAGCCACCAAAATTTTCCCGGGGGAGTACCCCCGGACCCCCCGAATTTTCGGCTCGCAACGCTCGCCTTCGGTCTCCAGTACCCTTACAATTCCTTGTCGCCCCCTAGCCCTATCGTTCTCTAAAAAAATTAGCCCCTCCGTCGGAAGTGCTAGCCCCTTTGTCGGAGGAAACCTAGCGCCACCACTGGGTCACATGACCTGAATGCTCTCCGGCACAGCATTTGTCGAAATGGTGTGTACCACCATCGTTCGCAAAGAGAATCTCCGTATGCCCACAAGAAATCGTATTTATCAGTTAGGCTTTCAGAGAGGCTCTCATTTCGTTCTCTTTCAGAAAACCATTGAATATTACCTTTTATGTCCTTCCAGTGCCAAAAGTGTCTCCAGATTAACCGACAGGTACTAAGCTTTTTGGCATCAGTGTGGCTCAGTTTGTCGGAATCAGTTGATATGCCACAAGGCTCGCTTCCTTCTTCTCTCATCCTCTCGTCACACCCTTTGACTTCAAACTTAGGCAATGAAACTGTCTTGAACAGCCAATCAGTGTTATTTCTCATCAGACTTTCAGGCTGATTTTGACCCTGCTTATTGCCCATCTCAAACCAGCCAATTGGAGGATCTCTTAGTCCGTTGCACATTGAATATTGCAGTAACAAATCCAAGTGATACGTCCCTGCTTCGTGAACCCAAAACGTAATTTCGTATGTCCCATCCATGCGATCTATCACGTAAGCCATCTGCCTTGTTCTTTCGCCACTCAATGTTGTTTGGCCGCGTAATGTTGCTCGCCACGAGTCACCACCGACAGTTTTTCTAATACCACCCACTGTATATGTTTGTATTATTATCCTGCTGTACGAGTTCACAAAGTTGATATTTTCCATAATTACTGAAGTTCTCTTTGCACTGGTCTCCATACCGTTTAGTTTCGCTCTCTGATCTCTGTCCACCCATGAGATATTTAATTTGCATGGTTCGAGAACGCTTTTCCAGTTGAACAGAAAATTTATATCAGGGTCTGTTTGGCAGTTGTTAATCTTGCAAAAGTGTTTTAAATCATCAGACATTTGCTCGTTCTTAACTGCCTCACTGTGGGCACTAACTTTGAAGCTGCTGGCGATGCCAGAGAGTACAACGATAGTTCCAACAAAGCTGTGCATGGTATTACGTTGATCTTACCAAACTGATTTCTGGACTTTTTAACACCCTTTATGAATCACACATGTCTGTCAATCACCATCGTTGCTAGGTAATCGATTGCTTCAATTTGTGAGTTAAACACTAAAACTTGGTTAGTCTACAGTTACATCTCTAGAATATATTTTGTATGGTTTGCGATACTTTATATCAATATAAGCATACGCTGCTATCTTGCAAACCTTGCCTTTATTTCGAAAGAAGATAAGTTGGTTGCTATTTTACAGAGGCATCTCTCTTGTACAAAGAAGGTGATAGGTGAAACAAAGAATTTAGTTCTTCGCTTAACTATCTTTTAATTTCCATGTTGTTTTCACCCGTATTGTTTTGTTAGTGTCAACCACGTGACACGATGTTGCCATATTGATAACACCGTGAATTTTTAACATAATGTTTTTATTATCTACTTTGTTAAGCGCTTGCAATATTCAATTTAAATAGATTACCGAGGCAGTTTCAATCTCGAAACTCATATCTTGAAATTTTACGCAGATGTTTTATCTATTATGCTTTTCCTTTAGAAATGATTGCATCTGAGGCATAAAAAGACTAAAATAAGCAATTAAAGCCTTTCTGATTACGTTCCAATTTACCTCGACATCAGCCCCGGTAATTTCATTTCTTCATTGGTGCCTCCTATTTTGCTATACGGTGTATTTGTTTTCCAATATTATATCCCGTATACGGTACTGTACTGAGTATGGCCTATATTTACCGTATTGAATGTGTGCAAAACTCCTCAGTTGTCTTCCAATGCTTTTAATTTTCCAGGGGGTGTTGACAAGCTTGTTTCTCTGAGCAACTTGGCATAGCAGAACATTTCCATCCAACAAGAAGCTCGACTGAAATTTATATCTCCCATTTTTGTAAAATTGATGAGGGCTAAAAAAGTTTATCCCATCTAGGTCCTGAAGTCGGAAGCAACTTGCATTTTTTGATAATCAGCAGTAACAAATTAACGCCAAGATTTCACTTTATTTATCTCCTCAATATCATTATTTGTCTTCTTATCAGTAGCGGAGCGGGTGGAGGCAAAAGGAGCGGCCGCTCAGAAAGTCGGTGACTGACAAAAGTACAAATCTGCAATAGAATTAGTACCTTAAAGGGGGATTTTATATTTCAGACAATATTAAAACGTTCTTGAAGACTGCAAATGACTGTAAGAAATATTCTGAAATGTATTTCAAGCTAATCTGAAGGGCGTCGTCGCAAAAATTTTCTGCTCGCTTCGCTCGCACAGAGACCCTTTTTTATAACTCTGCAGAATGTTCAACAATTTATCGCACGTTAGAGGATTTAGATAGAAAAGTCGTTTACGTTCTTTAGACAATCCCGATAAAATAGAAACTAAAATGCTAAAGCGCTTCAATCCTTAAAAAAATTGGATTCTGAAATGCTTGTCGGGGATTTTGCTCCAAGGAGAACGGAATTAGTTTAAAACATTTGAATCCTGTTTGTTATTTTTAGATATTTGATTAAAACTGTGGAGAATCCCCGACAGTTTTTACAAGTAGTGCTTCCTCGCCTTACACATTTCAGAATGTAAGCGTTTGATGAATTGTCAAGGAAAGAGGCAGTTGTAGAATGGGGTCAGCCATAAAAAGCCAGATATGACCTTGTATAAAGCGAAATTGCCACGTATAAAAGCCAGCAAAAATTTTCTCCTCTTTGCCCCTCCAATCTTTCAAACCTGGCTACGCCACTGCTTCTTATCGTCTTTACCTTAAAGCTAAAAAAGGAATTTTAAAAATGGGCGTTGCCATAATTTACCAGTGACCTGAAGGGTGTGGGACCAAAATTAGTGTCTAACACCCCTCCCCCCAATCATTGTTGCTTAGATCCGCCCCTGTCCGTAATGAATTTTCCATTATTTTCCATACAAACACTATTCCGTAATGAATTTTCCATTATTTTCCACACAAACACTATTCCGTAATGAATTTTCCATTATTTTCCACACAAACAGTAATCTTGAAACATTTATTTAACTTGCTATAGCTATTTGAATTTCGGTTAGCTAGAAAAAATGGGCGGCAGTGCTGCCATTCTGTGACGGTTGGTGCAATACTTTCGAACGTAAGTGTATTTTTAAGTTCCCTCGAGCGTCATTTAGATAAGAGGACTGGGTAACAAAATCGCGCGCGAACCTGAAGCCGAATCACAGGGGAGCAAGTTCAGGCGCGAAAACAGGCATAGAGATTCTGCGTGTTCTAAACATCACGAACATCGAAACAAGAATAAAGACAAATCTAAGACATAAACATTGATTGTAAGTATTCTGATTTTCTTAGCTTATTCCGATCGCTCAAATATGTATAAACACATTTGCTATTTTGATGGTGAAGCGCTCTACACTACAGGGAGGCCTGGCCTAGTGCCTCTAGGACAACATTTGGAAATGTGCTCCGCAGCCAGTTTTTCCGAGTGACTCAAACAGGTTTCAATGAGCTAATATGTGTAATGTTTGAGCCATGGAAAGCAGTGCGAAACAACTGAATACTCTACAAATGTTTTCCGACCTTGTTAATTTTTGCTTGAATTTCTAAATCAACTGTTTAAGTGTTTTTTGGAGTGTGTCGCGAGGGAGGGCGTTGTGTGTAGCAAAATTACTGCTTACTGCCTCGAACCCCACCAGAAACAATTCTATTGATCTGTCTATGAACTGACAAATGGACTAGTTTCTTTCAGGCACCGCAAAGCGTTAAGAAAAGGCTAAAACCAAATCAAAAGTGGCTTGACTGCTGATTTATTGGTACATTTTTTGCATTTTTTGGCAAAAAGTAGGGGGGCTATAGCCTCCCAGCCCCCCTTCCCAGTGGTGCCTGTCTTTGACTGCATATCAAAACTTAGCATGTTACTAACATTGAATAATTTTTGGGACATGTGAGGTATAAAGTTATCTTAGCTTCTTTTTCCTCAACATATCAAGCAATTGCAAGTTGTGTCACTTTATAGTTGTTTAATTACAATCATAAGTGTAATTTGTGAGATTTGATTCACAAAATTAAGGATAAGCCACATAAATGTTCACTAAGTTACCTGATGGTCACATGGAAAAACTCAAGACAGAGCTATCAAAGCCATGTGCCCAGTTGATATGATTTGATGATATATGTATTTTGATTTTGAAAAATTATTTCAGATTGAATATTAACAGCAAGAATCAGCAGAGATCAAAAGTCAATTAAAATCAGCACAGATTAGAAACTACTTTGAATGAAAGTTTTTTTTAGAGTTCGAATCACAAAAGCTGGAGGTTTTTTGTTTTTCTGGAATAACCCATAGTTCACAGGTAGGGTTGCAGAGAGGATTTATGAGCCCCGGGTCAGGAGGAAAGATAAATAGCAAAACAAGTTGAAGGCAGACTTTTCTTGAGGTTTCAGGGAATGCTCCTTCAAAAT